AGATATGCCCAGCAAGCTGTACAAACATGAGGAATCCATCTTTCCCAGTGTGGGAAGCACAGATTATCCAGCATTGCATAGAAATTATGTAAAAGATCTTTGGAAATGGCACAGTCTATGCGGCTGCTGAGATTTTACATAAAGTGTAGCTACCTTTGCAGGACTTTAAAGTCTTTCTGCATTCTTTTCTTGTGGGCCTACTGAATAGTCTGGAAACAACAGACAGTATAGCATTGCTGAAGTTAGGCAAGTGTGAAATTGCTCAGCAATCTCAATGGGAAACCACTGAGAGCACAAAATAAAATCAATGTATACATAGCATGAATACATTTAAAAACAAGCAAACATTATGAACTTGCTAGCAAGTGTGAGGATTTTAACTCAATAAAAAGGTAAATTATGTCACCACAAATGAAAGGAGGCCTCCATTGTCAGCCTACCACACTTCAGTTAAGGACAGTGTGCCACAAGAACAAAATAAGAACTATAAACTTTCCAGTGCCAATAACTTAAGTACTTGATCTCATAAGCAGACTAGACATAAAATCACAAAACATACAACATGCATTTTTGCAACATGTTATCAAGAAATTCAACATCTGTAGAATGAGTACATTTTTCTTGCCTGTCTTCAGGAGACAGGCTAGAAAAAACATACCCATTTTACAAATGGAGTACACTCGTTAAAAATCTTATGCTCTAAATGTTTCTATTGCTTTCTGTTACAACTAGGAAGGCTGGCCCACCTGCTTAAAATAACTTGGTAGTAGTTGGTGTCTACCTGGCCCTGTCACTGAATTCCCTACCTGTCATTTGTTATACTAGCCAACTCTTAAAGGAAAAAAACTTTGTCTCTTATAGAATTCTGTCTTTGTTTGGCTAACAAGGAGTATGATATCCCCATGAGATCCTTGTAATGGAGTCTGCATTTCCCCAAATGTCAGCAACCCAGCTGAGATCTGCACATAAAATTGCTCATTTAAAAAGCTGAGACTTCTGAAAATGTATGGCAGCAATAAACTGCTGACACCCACTTCAGGCTTTCTTTTATCCAAGAAGAACATTTGGATTGCTCTGGAAAGAATGGACAAGACAAAGCCAGGCACAGGCAACCATTTCATCTTCTTAAAAATCACCATTCTATATATGAATTGGCAGCACAACACACAACTGGCACTGAACTTGATGATAAAGGCCTACTGCAGGACAATATGACTGTTACAGTTCCAATGCATTCTGATACACTCCTTTCACAATGTGCTAGTTGCATCAACAGGATAGAGCCTTTAACTACAGAATTGCCTATTACAGACAAGAGAGCAAGTACAGTACGCCTCCTTATGCTTTTCATATGTTCATTGCCAGCTGAGCACTTGGGTTGAGCAGCTTGTATTCCTATCAACCAGAATTGTTCACAGACTCTTTCTTAACTCATGCATATTCTGAGTGAGACATATGACTATATTTGTACATAAAAAAGCTTTCTTCCCCACAATTACTTCCTTTAGTGAAACCCCGATAGTTTGCTGGCGCACTGGCAGAAGTTTCAACTTTTACTGAACTGAAGACTCTGTATTCACTTAAATTTGGATATAACACATCTTTAAGTTATACTAAATGCATTATTAAGAACGAGTTTGATGATGTTTTTCTAATCCCACCTTAAAGTCAATATTAACACTTAATCTTGGCCCAACACCATCCTATTAAAAAAAAGAGGGTCAGGGAGACAGATCTATGTCGTTTCAATCACTTGATTCCAATTAATATTCCATTGAACAGGCCTCTGCGATTGTTTCATACTTCTTGAGAGACTGTAACACAACAGCCTATATCTATTGCCACCAGCATACTGGAGAGTAGTGGCAGGAGGATAAGTTATGCTTGTGGAGCAGGACAAGATGAATGAGAATATAGCAGGACGCTTGCATTCACAGGGGTAGGTTGCAAGCCCCCAGCAGATGCCTGAAACCACAGATAGTAGCAAAAACTATATATTCTACATATATATTTCTTTTTTTTACAATTTCACAGATAGAAGAATTGTTCTTATCATACATCCTAGCAACAACATACATTTTTCCCTATTATATCAAGAATTTTCACTTAAAGGAAGCACTTTACTATTTCTCTTTGACATTTTACAGCACTTTACACTCTCTTTGGCACGTTATGACTTCTCTTGCAAACTGAGGTCAAGCGAAGTGAAACTGGTAACTGAACCAGTGGATATGGAGCTCCTGCTGTATTTGCCATTTATCAGGGTCAAACATCCTGCTTGGAATACCCCATGTCTTGATGTAAAAGTGTTTGCTAGCTGCACATCTACATCTATCTCTAGCTAGACAGATAATCAAAAAGACATGCTCCATAGTGATAGTGAAGGAGCTCATACAACTTTCTCCAGCCTTTTTTGAACACCTGCCAGGCTGCCAACCAAGCATTACTATTAAGATGAGTATTCCTGCAGTGGCTGACTGTAGACGGAGAACTCGTTGATTGCACATAAAGAAAAAAATGAATCAACTGTTTAAACATTAATAATGCATTTCACTCTATAAATGGGCAACAAAGAAAGGGGGAGAGAACTGTGGTATATCATAACTCACTTTACTCACAATATCCAGTAGTGGCCTAAGACACTTGTAAGCTATTCTCCAAATGGCAGATACAATAGCCATGAAAGACCTATCTAGAGGAAAAATGTGCTCCAGGCTACAAAATACAACTCAGCAAGTGCATGGGAAAAATAGGATACCCTGTCAGGAGACGGTGCTGTTGTTAGGAAATATGCTGAGTTTGTGCCTGACCAATGGGCAACACCTGCGCATTTAAAACCCATTACAAAGACCTCCATATATGGTAAACCGTTTATTTCAGGCATTTTGCTTTTAAGCACTTTACAATCCACTGATACACACAATGACCATGAACAGTGATGGGTTATGTTTCCACTATCTCAGGCAGTGTGCCTATGCACACCAGTTGAGGGAGAACTTGGGCAAGAGGGTGCTTTTGTACTCATATCCTGCTTGTGGATGCCATAGGCAGCTGGTTTGTCAATATGTGAACCAAACGCCAGACCAGAGGGATTCTTGACCTGTTCCAGCTGGCTCCTCTTATGTTCTTATGTTCCCTCTGGATTAGATCCAGACCTAGTCAAACTTAGGGTTGAGCCACTGAAATCTGTGGGAATTAACTAAGTCATGACTGTTTTCATTGGGTCCACTCTAAGTATGACTAAGTCGGGATCCAACCATCTACACTTCCAGCTCAAGAATATGAGATAGAAAAGAAGGTAAGTCTCAGGCCACACTCAGGGCAAGTTCTGAGAACTATGTGGATCCCAAGTGTCCTCAACTCATGCACCAGGCTGCACTTCCAAACCAGCTTGGCTGTCTGCACTTATCAATAGTTTAGTATTGTTAAAGCCTTTAAAGCCACATGCTGAGGTAATCCAATGTGAGCTTCCTTCCCAAATCAACTTACTAAAAATTTGCTGTAGTTTTTAAAGAAAGCTTGAACACACTTATAAAATCTTTTTTTAAAGGAACCATGATATTGACATGGCAGTCAAAGAAAATATAAAATATACCTCCAGAATGCAGAAAGATCAGCTAAACACACATACAGACAAGTTTCCAAAACTAATCACAGGAGACATTATAGGAAATTTGTCATTCAGCTTCCCTGTCATCCACCATCCACCATGTCTTTCTTCAGAATTAGTTTGCCCTAACATTTCTAATTATTTGTGTGCCAAATTATACTGACCATAGTAATAAATTATTAATATTTGATTCAGTATCTAGACATGCTGTTTGTTGCAGCTACAGCCCAAAGAGAATCACATTGACAGACAGGAAGCAAGACTAATCTGAAGACATATATATGATCTTATCCATTTTCATGTGGATAGCGCATCACTGGTCACATACGTCTGCATTGACGCATACACTATTTTATGTTATAATCTGTGTATCTTATGCTTTGGCTATAAAACCTTATGTAACACATCCCTGTTTAATATGGAACAGCATGTACATAGTTGTGTCAATCTAAGCAGTTTTCTTTTCACCCAAGGATAATGTTGTCCCTTGAGGACTCTTTTAAGTCACTGAAGGGAAAAAATTAAAATGAAGGGACACCCACGATAGTACGACTACATGGTTGCTGATCTGGAATGACGACTTTTTTCCAATCTGTATTCAAATGGTTTTGGACTGGCATGGGCATTAAGGTTCCCAGTGATGAATACAAGCAAATATAAACGTATTCTGCGAACAGGATTGGTCTCCTGACTTGTGGAGGTACAGGTCTATTAAAGGAAAACATCTCTGATGATTTATTTTAAAGGACAAGATCAGCAATCATTACACCTCGGTCTCTATAACCAGCATGTTACAAGCATACACACTGCCATTGTGATGCTGTGGGTTGTGCTACGGCAACCACTTGTACTGCTTCTTTGTTCAAGAAAATAAAATGTATCTGCACTGATCATTTACTGAGGCAGTATCTTAAGTACAAACACACACACCACAGGCTGAGGACTTGCACTGCTCCCAAATGACATGAAACATCAAGTCCAGCATTCGGAGCACTCCCCCCTCCCTTAGATGAAGAACAGAAAATGCATGATAGCGACAGCCACTCTCCCTGTTTATAATCCACAAAGCTTTCACACCCTGCCATGAGGAAAGAAGTACAGCATGCCATTAGCAAATTACAGCACACAAAATGCATTCCAGCTTTGCCAGAAACACCAGAATCTTTCTTCTTCTTCTCTCTTTTACTGCTGGACAAGGAATTATATAACTGAGATTAGTTAAGGTGTCCCCAGACTATATGCATCACATCACCAGACAGTCAACAAAACAAACCTTTTTGCATCCCTGTCTTCTGCATACTTTGCTATTCTGAGGAAGGAAGAAAGGAACCAACAAAAGGACAGTTCCTTAAACAAGCCAACAAAAACAACACAACACAAAACTGCTTACCGCTTCAGAGTCTTCAAATCCATGCAGGTACAAATTGTCATACATGGAGATCTGATAATCCAAAGAACCCCTTCTCAAGGCAAAAGTGAAATCCCTACAAAAGCCACAGCTAGGATTTAAAATGCAGGGAAAGGCCTAGACAGAGCCACTCAGCCTGCCTTTTCAATTTTTTCCTGTGGATTTCCCCCCAGCCAAGATGCTATCCATTCACATCATAGGAGGGAAGGTTATCCCTAGAGGCAACCCAGACCTGGCATTTTATCTGCCTCCCAAACACAGAGCATGAAAGCAAAACCGTTTTCCCCAACCAAGGACTGATGACAGAGCCAGCAAGAGACCCGTGATTGGCTGGGCTGCTGTGCCTCAGTCAACTGGCAGAGCTTTCTCTTTGATAGTGGATGACGAAGAGGAGGGGTTGTGCGTTTGTAACAAGCATGCCCCTGGTTATAATTTATTCCCTACAGCTAATAATAAAATAATAATAATAGTAATAATAAATAAATAAATAATAATAATAATAATAATAATAATAATAATAATAATAATAATAGCAGCAGCAGCTCAATACCATTTTAAATCATCTGAGGTGAGAGTGGATTTTCGGACTGGTTTAACTATCAAATGCACCTTATGGAGTAGGGGAAGAAAGCAGGGCTTTTCCTAAAGTCCAATTGCCACAGCATTTCTAGTAAACCCTTAAGGTAAACAGCAATTTAAATCAAAGGAGGAAAAACAATAGCTTTATTGAAGGGGATAAGAGCAAGAAGGCAAGATAGAAACAAAGAGGGAGCTCACCTAACTTCCTGTGTTTCCACTAGCCTTTTCTGAATCAGATCTTTTGCTCAGAAAATATTTAAAGAAGGAATGCAGGGTGAGACTTCACCACTTCCAAAAGCTTAAAAGAAAATGGTTCACTTCTTTTTTCCATCTAGTTTCACTGCCTAATTTGAATAGTGGGAGCAGCATTTCACTAAAAAGGTCTTTTATAGGAGGCAAACTGCACTTTAAAATATGATATTGTTTATCCCATAATAGAATTATGTATTGATTTCTGAATGAGTCCACATTCACTCATCCTTCAGGAAAAAAAATCCAATCCATACAGATCGACCCAGTTCATAAATCACACTTTAAATTCACAATTGTAGTTTACTAAGCCGGGATACGCACATGCAGCATGCACCTTCACAGAGCCCATGTTTCTTCCTTTGCAGCAAGTAGAAATACAAGTCACAATACAATAAATAAAAGTTACATGCAATGGGGAATTACAGTTCTGCTTCCAAATAAGCTAAGGTTCATAAATCAGCTTAAAAGACTTGTTTAAAGCTGGCTCCTGATCCTGGCTTGCATGTATGCTAAACCTAGTTTCCAGTTGATATATAAGCAGAAACTGGTTTATTTCCTGCTCACATAAAAGGAACATGCCACCCAACACAAGGTAAAGGTACTGGTAACCATGACACTCACAAGCATTTTTAGTTAATGCAAGAAAAATTCCTTGGCAGGAAGTTTAGTATTAGACATTAAAAATAGGTCTCAGGATCTCTTCACAAAGGAGGGATTAACTTGAGCTGGAAAATGTAGGCTTTTTCATTCAAAACACTTAAAAGACAAATTAGAAGACTCCACAGAGGCAGCAAGAGGGATAGAACTTCTAACCCCAAACAAATAAAACCTGCAACAGCACTTCTGAAAACAGAGTTATTGCTGCAAAATAAAAAAAATTAAAGAATTGATTCATCATAGCAGAAATCAAAATACAACCTTTTTTATAATCTAAAGCCTGTGTGGTATGGTGCGGTGTGGTGGTTGGAGAATTAGGCTGGGACTAGAGAAACCCTGGTTCAAATCACCACACTGCCACAAAACTCACTAGGCAACTTTGGTTAGTCACTGACTCTTAACTCAACCTACCTTACAGGACTGTTGTGATGATAAAATGAAGAGATTACTTTGGGTTCCTTGAAAGAAAGGTGGGATACAAATGTAACAAATAAAATAGCATGGGGGTTGCCTGTAAAAAGGTTATAAGTATATTTATTACCTTAATGATAATTTTGGACTATAAGACTAATTCAGCTTCCCCATCATTGTGTTTTCCAGATATCTGGGGCTATAACTCCCAGTCCTCATGGCTAATGGTCAGGGATGATAGTAGTTGTAGCTTAAAACAACTGGAGCTAATATACTAGGGAATACTGGATTAATTATACAAAGGGAGCAAGCTGAAACACATATTTCAAGATATTAACAGATTTTATTCATTTTATCAATATAATTTTAGTTAATTAAATTATAGTGAAAAATATAAGTTCTGAGGAACACTGCTGAGGTAAATACTATGTAGCTTTTAGATTTTTAAGTAAATCCAACAGCCTCTGAAGGCTTTGCTGCCTGAGGAAAAAGTTAAATGGACTTGTATGTTTTGTTTTGGAACAAGAACTGAAAGATGGTTAATTGTAAAGGGGAAAAACTCTATCCTTTATGGGTGGCTTGGACTACAGAAAATTACAGTGACCTGGTAACCCAGACAATAGACTCAGTATAGGTAATTATGGGTTGTCCTGGACTCCTGGCTTATTGTGGGTTGTCACTATGTGTAGACCTTGTACTATAGTTTAACAATCCACAGTTTACAAGTGAAGAATGAAGCATGAATTCTCTTCCTGGGTTGTTTATGGTTATCCCATACTTCAACCACAGTACACAGTTTGCATGTAGCAAAGTAATAACCCATACTCTGGCGAGTATTGAAGTGGCAAACTGGCAGACTGCCATTCTGTAGCTATGGTAAACACAGAGCTGGCTATATGTGAACAGCTATATGTTCTGCCTTCTGAGGGATAGAATCAAAAGGTGGTAAGTGTCGATGAATCAACCTGAGAACACCCCAAAGACATCTTACAAATCATAAACACCACAGCACAATTAAAATACAAATACAATATAAAAATATGCAGTAAAATAATCCCAATTATTTGATAAAACAACCAACCTTTAAAATACTGGGTGAATAAAAAGGTCTTGGCCTGATGCCTAATAGAATAAAGCATCAGCACCAAGCATACATTTCCAGGTTCCAAAGCAGGTTCCAAAGCTGGGGCGCTACTACAGAAAAGGCTCTTCCCTGGGTAGGCACTCTTCTAACCTTTAGACAGGACTCCCAAAGAAGGACCTCAGTGAAAGATCTTAAGAGTTCAGGCAGGTGTATATGGAAGGAGACATTCCTTCCAATTTAATACTTTATCTAGTTATACATGTATAATTTTAAATAAATATGTCATCCCTTTTTTTAATTATTGGAACCTCACTACTGTTCTGCCCCCATGAATGCAGCTACTGGTTCAGATAAAACAGTGCTCAGAAAACTAAAGAATTCATATTGTGACAGCAGAAAGGGGATAAGAAGGGGGGCATAAAGTGTAACTGGTGCTGAGGATTCACAGTATTTTGGTTATTAGCAGAGGGCTCACCATCACCAATTGGGGTCTAGCACTGGCATTCCCCACATCATCATTGTGATTCCTCTCCACAAGCATTACTAAATAACGCAATGTAACTGAAATGTAACTGTAACTGGGGATAACAGAAGTGTTCTTGTGAATCTTCACAAGCAGGAAAAATTAATCATGCAGAGTGGAGAATTCTGTATGTTGTTTCCACCAGAACCAAAAGGAAACCCACATTCCAGAAACGTACAAGATTGTCTGTAACTGCAATCCTACACCTGTTTGAAGACCAGCTCTGGGGCTATGAGAAGTGGCTTAAGACATACTCCACTAGCAGAGAGGGAGGTCTGCAAGTTTTACAATGCCTATGCCATCAGAGGCCTTTTGATATTTTAATTATTTATTATTAATAAAAGACATAATAAAACAATGCTGATCCCAGGGCTGGTAAATTATTTATTTATTTATTTTTTATTTATTAAAACATTTCTATTTGAGTCAATAAAATCTGTTCCCTTCTTTCTACTTTGTCTATAGTGAGCTGGTATCCCAGAATCACCCCTCACTCCAGAAGAATGGGAGAGCTGTACCTGTCAAAACTATCTTGTCATTTTAATACCCGTTCCTTGAAAGTACATGATACTGTGCAATTACAAAAAAAATATTAGTGTAGTATCTTTTATTAGCCAGCTCAGAGGTCACAAGATGCTGTGCAAATTTCTGACTTTTCAGAATACTTTATCAAGGAAGATGTTAAAGTGAAAAGGGAGGTGGAAGGGAAGAAAAAGGTAGGTGGTGTTCAGGCTATCGAATCTGCATCCTGTTACAGTCTTAAAATGGAAAGTGGGAAGAGGCTGCAGACATTCCAATTAGACTCTAACAGGTACTGTGACAATGTCAGGTTTTACCTCAAAGTGGAACTGTTGAATTGATAACCACTGAGTTTTCTGAGATGATCTTGGCTATAACCATTTGGGTACCCTGGACTAGAATATAACTTTCTAGGCCTTATGTTTTCAGAAAACTATACAGCTGTGAGGATGCTGCAGATAATGCAGTTATATTTCTGGTAGGATATTCAACATTTGCAAAAGACTTTGTATCTCAACTAATTTTTGAAAAAGGAAGTAAATTTCCAGACTCCAAATGGATAAAAATGTTCAAAGAAGATATAGCTACAAAGGTTCCCATCTCTTTCCACTGTGTCCTGCAAAACTGGCAGCAAACACTGTGGTACGTGGAATATATACCTTTCCCATGCTTTTTCCCATGGCCAGAATATGGTTTGAAGGCACATAAGGCATCCACCATAAGCAGGTCTGGCCTGAGCTTGGTTGGAGGGGAGACCACCTGGGAACTGCATGTTGACATCTTGAGTTCCACAACTAGAAAAGGGTGGGATATAAATATAATAAATAAATATTCTGCAATGACTTAGCAGTAATTATTCTATTATTATGTGGCCACAAGTCAGCATTAGGATTAAGGCTCAAGTCTCTTGATTAAGTTTAGCACTCAGATAATTTCTTCACAGTTGCAGAAGGAATCCCTATGTTTTCTTGAGAGGATGGGGGATAAAAAATAATGGTCACTGAATTAATGCAAATTCTCTTTTACTCATTTATGCCATCATAATTTGCCTCAGGTTCAAATAACCATAAATTAATCAAGACCCTAAATGTGTATTTTAAAGGAAGCTTTAAAATCTTAAGATAGCTCTTAACTAAAATACTCAAGTTAAGTTGAGGGCAACAACACTAGAGGCAACATAATAAATCCCACCTAAGAGTTAGAAACAATGACAATTTGTTTTACTATCCAGTTAACTTTGCAGTACATAGTATGTCTTTTTCTGAGTTCTGCAGAAGCCATTATCCAATGGGTACAT